AAGGATAAATCTGGAAGGAATGGTAATGGAAACTTTTATGGACATTGGTTTAAACTTGATAGGGTAATATCTTCTTGGGACCTAACTGATTTATTGTCCATCATAAGGTGATTGCTCATTCTTGTGGGTGCCATTTCGGTTCCCTGATAGCCTTATTAGATTGTATCTTTACTGCAGTAGGAAGTATTTAATAAATTAGCCTGTGATCTCTGTTAATTTATGTTCTATGTCCATGTTTTCTTTTGGAATCACTCTTTTACTCCACTGATTTTCAAATCACTATCAAGGTGAAGCAAGAAAGACTAATGGAAACTTAGTTTGTAAGGAAAAACTTTTGGGTGATCAGTTTCGTATAGCAGGGATCAGTGGAAGTGACTTGGGTATAATTAGCTTTTAGAGACTAGATGTTAGGTTAACCATTTCGAAAGCTCTTCTGGTTTTGTGGTCATCACTTGCAAGTACAAGCTACCAGTTGGTTTAATGTACAATTGAACATAATTATATAAATTTCTGTGAATTCACAATCCTCTTCTGTTTGTGGATTTATGTTACCAACTCAATCACTTTTTTATGTTTCATCTTCTTCCTGATATTAATGATGAACCTTTACAGTAAAAGGATCAGCGGTTTGATATGGCACCTCCCGCTGCAATGATCCCTACTGCCGCCGCCGCCGCCGCCGCCGCCACCGCTGCCATCGCAGGTATAAAACTATTATTTTGCAATCCTATCATATGATAACTGTTATCTTTTGTTTTTGACATAGTGTGGAAAGTTCGTATCAAAATGCACGGTTTCATTTGGTAAGCATACTGGTTTTCATTTGCACAGAGCACAATATGAGTTCTGGTCCCTAGATAGGCTGTTTACTTTTCTTTTAATTATTTACTTAGTTAAATAATACTGAAACTGAGAGGGTTTTTTGGTTTCTTCTTGTGTTTGGTGTTTGTTTGTTTGTTTTGTATGTCATGTGTTATGTTCTAAGAAGGCAATATTGGGCTAGTAGCCCCACTGTGCTGACAATGGGCCTGAGCCGACTTCTGTAGCTTTTATGTACAAGGAAGAAACAATACAGGTCTCTTCCATCTTCAGTCAGGAATTGCACGTTTGGTAGTTTTTACGAACATTTATCTCTAATATCTGTACATTCTACTTTTTCCATTCTATTTTTATAGTTCAGCTTTACTTTAATTACTAGATGATAGGTTTGCTAAAATATGCATTATCATGTAAAATATAATTATTGTAAATGTTAAATCTCAGTATATTAATGAAGATTTAGATGCGTGTTCAACCTTTATTTTGTGGATGTAACTTGATTTTGTCTTGGCAGGTCAGATGCCTGGGACCACACCGACCATTCCTGGAATGTTCCCAAACATGTTTCCTATGGAACTAGGACAGGTTTTCTGCCCTCGCTCACTGCTACTTCTATGGTGGCTTTATTTCTTGCCTTTTGGAAACTAACTTTGGTTTCTTAGCAGTTTGGAGCTCTCCCTGTTATGCCAGTTCAAGCGATGACAGAGCAGGTTGATTTATTTTATTGGTTTGTTTTAATTTTTTCTTATATGTCTCAAACATAATAGTTTATCCACTATTTAGATAATATCTTATTTTAATTGTGGTACTTTCAGGCTACTAGACATGCTCGACGAGTCTACGTAGGTGGACTTACTCCCACTGCCAATGAACAGGTATTTCCATCCTGTTGGCTTTGTCATTTATCCCGAATTGGTTGGAATATCTGCAAGGTTTAATTGGTGTAATATATTCATCTCGACATCTAATGTTTAGTTATTTTGCTTGTCATTTTTATTCTTTTCTCAATGTCCTTTTTTTTTGAAGACAAAGCACTTTCAATGAATAACCCTTTTTTTCCCTTGTAAATTTTCAAGTAAATAGTTGAATAAATTGTGACATTTACACTCTGGATTGAAGCTTTCTTTCACTGAATAATTTTTGTTCTGCGTACCAGTTTCTACTTGGTGTATGTTCTATGGTTTCTTACACTTATGCTTGTTTCTCTGTGGCTCTTTCATGCCTGGTCGTGCAGTCCGTGGCAACCTTCTTTAGTCATGTTATGTCTGCAATAGGAGGAAACACTGCCGGTCCAGGTTAGTCAAAACTCCTACATATGTTCTGCGAGACACAATTGACTCGATTTGAGGACTAAACTATTTCCATCTGATTTCAGGAGACGCCGTTGTGAATGTTTATATTAACCATGAGAAGAAATTTGCTTTTGTGGAGATGAGATCTGTTGAAGAGGCTAGTAATGCTATGGCCTTAGATGGGATTATTTTTTAGGTATATTAACATATTCTTGGGTTTTGATTACCCTAAGCTTACTGAATTTAACTGTCATCTATGCTGCTTATTAAAATTTAGGCGTTCTGTATCTATTCTTAATGCTGACATATTGCTCTCTTAAGATGCACTCTATTTCATTAGCACCAGTTTCCCAAAAGTAATTTTTTTTTCCCTTTGTTCCATCTTTAAAAAAAAAATAAAAATTATTCTGCTTATCATTGTTCTTTCTTGTTAGTGCCCCTGCATACAATTTCGTGCTGGTATTTGTTTTTTCATATCCAACTTTTATTGCTTGCATGGATAAATTTTATTTGGTATTTAAATTGTGGCCATGTTAATCGGTATTTTACTGGTTTTGTGCAGGGAGCACCTGTAAAAGTCAGAAGACCTAGTGATTACAACCACTCACTGGCTGCTACTCTTGGCCCGAGTCAACCTATTCCAAATTTGAACCTTGCAGCTGTTGGATTAACACCAGGTTCTGCTGGCGGCCTTGAGGGCCCTGACCGTATTTTTGTGGGCGGTTTACCGTATTATTTCACGGAAGCACAGATCAGGGAGTTGCTGGAGTCTTTTGGTCCATTGCGACGTTTTGATCTGGTGAAAGATAGAGAAACAGGAAACTCCAAAGGCTATGCATTTTGCGTTTATCAGGATTTATCAGTTACGGATATCGCTTGTGCAGCTCTTAATGGTATTAAAATGGGTGACAAAACTCTTACAGTTAAGCGAGCTAACCAGGGTACGACTCAACCTAAACCTGAGCAAGAGAGTGTGTTATTGCATGCTCAGCAACAAATAGCATTGCAGGTAAATTGTCATCTACCGAGCTTAACAGCTTGAGGTCATCTTCTTCAAGATCCTTGGGTGTAGAGGTCTAAAAAGCTCTCTTCAATAAATCTCAAGTTATTATAAAATTTTTTGTTACTTGGTTGTTTCCACTTGTCACCCTAAGGTTTGTGTTTAATGCCTATTTATCCCGAGTCTTTAGAAATGATCTATTTATCCAGATTTACTTCAGTGTTTGTTTAGGGCGAGTATGTTGTAATTTGTGATTTATCTCATTTAGCACTTCTTTGGCTACCATTTATAATTGGTCCAACTTATTAGCCACATTCTGTGGGACCCACAAGTATTATCCATTTATGCTCTTCTTGGGCTTCTCTCTGTGTTCTTTCTTCGTGTCAACATTTTGTGTTGCTTTTTTCAGAGTCTAGAATGTTTTATGAGCTTTTTGAGTTCTTTTAAAAGATGATGAAATGTAAAACTAGAGAAGAAATAATTGAAAATAAGTGATGATGGGAGAAGAGAAGCCAGACTTCCCCTAGCATCTTATAACCAAATGCAACAAGCCCCACAAGTGAATTGTAATTTTTGGGCAGTAGATCCGTGGTGATTTGTAAGACATATTTTCATCATTTTTTTTAATTACTTTCTTCTTATCTCTTAGACGCAAGCAACATTCATTAGTGGTCTTTTTATGCGATTGCTACTTTTGAGTCTATTTCTAGTTTCTAATTGCGAGGTAGACTCTAATTTTCTCGAAGTACTATATTATGTATTTTTGGATGTCTCAAAGTTTATGATAACAATTTTGTATGCTACTCTTAAACTATTCAATTGGTTTATGTTGAGGCTTGCCCCTGACAGCGCTTCAAGGCTTACGAGTCAGTCACCTCACTGAGGCAAAACTCTTTAATGCTCTGTTTACAATTATGACAAATGTCATTTTCTAATTATTTTTGGTCATCATTGATTTCTTGATAAATTGAATGGTCTAAAATATACGCTAGATTTCCAGTATTTCAGAAAATATTTAAAGAATAAATGTTGCTAAGATTTTCTTGAAAATATCGATAAGGTTTATGAACAAAAAAATGAATAATACTTTCAGCGTTTTTTGATTGACTGAACAAGTCAGTATAAATTCTTTTACAAGTTATTGAATTTTGGTATTTTGGCATAGACATGGTAAAGTTAATTAATAAAAGTTGGTTGGTATCATTTCAAAAGAAAGTGATCCCAGGTAAAAGAGAAACATGTAGTGGGATCATGCAAACATTAAAGTTGGGAATTCAATTTGACTTTTCACTTTATCTTACGGTTCACTTCTACTTGTCTGATTCTGAAAATTTTCCTATTGATCATCTTTCATTTTCTTTCTTAAGCAAGCGTTACCGTCTACTCAGGAAATATTTTCATCAGAAAGGTCACTGCGGATTTGAGTAAATCTGTAAACTGGGAAATCCATACCATTTTGATGAATGGAAGCACTTTCCAATCATTTGTATCCTGTCTCCCTTCCTGTTTCTATATACTTACCTATATCCAAGACCTTTGCAGATAGCCATTATTTTGTAAATGATTAGATTTAAATTTATATGAACAAATTAGCACGAGTTAAGCCCTCCAATGGGTTTAGCTGTCCATTTCTTAATACCATTTCTCTTGCAGAGATTCATATTACAACAACCTGGTGCTCCAGCCACAAAGGTTTTGTGCCTAACAGAAGTGGTTAACCCGGATGAGCTCAGGGATGATGAAGATTACGAGGACATATTAGAAGACATGAGAACAGAATGTGGGAAATTTGGTAAATACGTTTAAGCTGCCTTTGAACCTCTTGTCATTTATTTATTGTTTTTGATTTGATTGACTAGTTAATCTTCCTGCATATGTATTGATTCTTATGTGCTCTTTTTATGTATTACAGTTTTTTTTCAAGTTCAACACAATGATCAGCAGAATTGCCCTAACCTTCTATCTAATCATATGCATTTCCATATCATATTCACTGTTTCTCATCTTCAGGTACTTTGACGAATGTGGTCATTCCACGCCCAAGTCCCAATGGCGAACCAACACCAGGTTTAGGAAAGGTTGGTATAAAGAGCATTCTTCCTTAAAAAGCACTCATACTCTATTGTCCTTCCATTTTTCGATTTTGAAGGTTTTGTTTTTCACTCTAGATATCTCTGCAATTACTGGCCTGTTTATACATTTTTTATACTGCATTTTATAATCGAAATTTCCTGGCCCATAGTTCAATTTTCAGTGACTGGTAAACAGATATGGATACTTAAAAATACAGCACCAGATTTCTTGAATTTTTCCTTACTCAGGATGCTCATTTATCCTCTTTTACGTAAATTTGAGAATTAATTACAATTATCTGCTTACCTCTAGGTTTTCTTGGAGTATGTCAATGTTGAAAGCGCTACAAAAGCACGGCAGGGACTGAATGGAAGGAAGTTTGGTGGAAATCAAGTTGTGGCGGTCTTTTATCTGGAGAATAAGTTCTCTGAAGGAGATTATGATGGCTAGTCAACCTTGTCAATATTCTATTAGATGTTCTTTTGAGTCTTTAAAATGACTAGAACGTCAAATGTTGAAGCACACTAGTTGTGTTCTTACTGATGCACCTTGGATTTGTCTTGTGGTCACTAGGTTTTGTTGTAGGCATTATTATTGGATGAATAGTGTTGTGAGCTAGAAAGTGTTGTCAATCATGATTGCTTATTTTTGATTTGGTACCTCGTATTTATTTCTTCACTAGTACTTATGATACTTCAAGACTCTTTTCTTAAAATAAAATAAATAATATACTAATCACTTTCAATTTTCTCAGTAGTTTTCCATTCATTCACCATATACTTCTTTCGTCAAACCATTTGAAAATGAATAATGTTATTTATCATTATGACGGTGGAACATCAATAATGTGGTAGTATATGTGGAATAATGTGATTAGTAGTTCAATTTTTATGAGAGGGGGAGAGAAAGAGAGAAAAGTGAGGAATAATGAGTTGTCACATCATTGATATTCTATTATCATAATAATAAATAGTATTACTCTTTGAAAATGCATCTTTACGCTCATTTAAAATGTTAAAATGAATAACAAAAAATACTTAGGGCCTCTTCTCTTCGTCGTTTTCAGGCCGTTTCCTGTTTTTGATTTTTCAAAATACTGAAAACGCGTTCTCTTTTCCATTATCGAAAACCCGTTTTTGAAAACACAAAAAAAATTTGTACTGAAAACACAAAACNAAACACAAAAAAAAATTTGTACTGAAAACACAAAACATCATTTTTGACGTTTTGGACGTTTTCTGTACAAAACACGAAATAAGTTGGAAAACGCGGAAAACACTCACCCAAATTTAAAAAAAAAAAAAAACTTTCCTCTCCCTTCCCTCACATAGCCCCCCGTAAGCTACCTTCCGACCACTATGGCCGCCAGATTCCACCACCACTAAACATACCTCACTGCCCTCTACAACATACACCCAACCGCTGGCAGCAAACTCATCGGAATCAGCAGAGAAAATTGTCCAAAAATAGAACTGTCGTACCCTTCTACGGTCGGGAACTCTTGTTCCGGCGACACCCATGGTCACGCACCACTGCCGATCAGTATCCCTCACCCAGACAATCACAACCATGCCCATACTTCAACCAATGGATCTCCCAATAGATCAGAATCAAATCCTGCCAGTCGCACAGCTTACAGGTTCGAATGTGCAAACTTCAATTCATCCTCACCACTACATTAAATCACCAAATTTGCCCCAAACGAGTCTTCAGTAGCATTATACGACCATGGGTAGCATAACAATTACACCAATTGATCCAAAAACATCTTACACTATAAGTACAGTTAATATGGATGGCATTAGTTTCTCGAAATCTCAGATTGCTAATGCATAATTCTTCTTGTTTGTAGCATGTATGCACATGTTTGTAGTGGTTGTTTATAGTGGTGGTGATTGGTTGATTGGTGGTGGCGATGGTAGGCAGTGGTGGTAGTGACTGGTTGATTGTAGTGGATGTTTGTAGTGGTGGTGATTGGTTGATTGCAGTGGTTGTGTTGATTGCAACGATGGTGACTGGTTGTGTTGATTGCAGTGGAGTGGAAATTGCAGTGGTGGTAAATAATATTTCTAGTTGTGTTGATTGCAGTGGAGTGGAATTTGCAGCATAACTTAGCAGTGGATGAAGTTTCAGAATGGAGAAATCCTCAAGTTCAAGTTGGAGATGCTATCAGTAAGTGTTTACTGCAATTATTTACAGCTACAAGTATAAAAATGGACCTGCATTTAATTTTGGGTTTTCTTGTTTTAACAGTTTTCCAGCACAAATACCAGTACAATCTCTACATTTTCCAGAGCCAGAATGCCTTCAGCCTTTGCAACTTTTCTCAAGCTACACTTCTCACCAAACCCAGTTCAACATCTTACACCGTAAGTAACAAAAGAACTTCAATTAGGCCATTTATTGGTCAATATTGTTTATAGTTAATTGGTTTGGGATTTAAGTTGCTTGATGGTGACTCCTTTGAGCACATCAATATTGAATTCCTAATGCTCCTTTGAGTTTTAAATCGATTGTTTGAGTTTAATGGACTCTGATATCAAGATTCGGAAACATCCTCAACAATTGCTGGTGTTGTTAAATAGTTCACATGATGGACAGGACCATTTAACACAACACAATGCACGATATTAAATGCAAACATGTGATTGAACCATTTAACACAACACAATCCACTGCTACCTAGACTATTGATGATCATTATCAATGATAGATAGCATTATTCTTTGCAATTAGGACGTTGACGATGGTATTGGTTATTGGAATGCAGGTGCTCGGGTTTTCATTTTTTCAAAGAGCTTTGAGTTTGAGTTGTCCGATTTTGCTGATGACGGTCTAGAACTTGAACTTGCGGCATTGGCAGCTGACCCACAAGGAAACTTGTTTATTTTGCACTTGGCTGGGTTCCAGGACCAGGGGAACAAAAGCTGTACTTGTTTATTGAGGGCCCTACTGAGCAATCTGTCAAGAGGGCAAAAGGTGAACTTAAACATGCCTTGGAGGAAATAACAATGCAAGCTTCATCACTTCCTAGTTCAGCGCAACCTGGCAGATATTTGGTTCTTTAATAGCAAGTCTTTCATTATTAGATGCTGATTAGTATCATTTTTTTTCTATATTGTACCGTAGTTTGGGCATATTATACCAATTTCATTAATTATGTGTTAGATATCTTACTTTCAAGATACTTCGTGAGAATGAGATTAGTCATCTTGTTTCTTATAGACAGAAGCTCATTGGAATTTCTTTGTGCACATGATAATGTTACTACATTGTATATTTGGTGTCTGGAGGTAATTGAATGCTCGGGTAATCTGCTGAAGTTATGATAATGATAATGTTACTACAATGTTGATTCCAAGAAAATTAGCCAAATAAAGATTGCTGCTAGGTTCATAATTTGCAAATGAAGTGCACACAACAGTCATTTTCTCATCTTCTTGACCTGTGCTTGAATATTGTGGCTGAACTCATTTTATAATTCCTTACCAGTGGAAAATTACAACTTCTTGGGTGGATTTAATATTGTACAACGTAGTACAATATTGGTCACTTATATTTATTTCCAATATATATCACTAGTTTTACTCTTAATGACGGCAGTCCGCAAAATGGGGTATGGAATCCAGTTGTATGCCTGTAAGAGGTGCCTTGACTGACTCTTATTTGCTTGAGGATTAAATTCAGTCATAAAGTACTTATACAGTTCGTGATAATTTTATTTATGTTGTACTCCGTGGATTTATTTTGTATGTAGTTCAGTATCTGCTTATTTTGTCATAANTTTTTATGTTTTCAGAAATAGTTTTTCAGAATGGCAAAAAGAACGCATTTTCAGAAATTTCAAAACATACACTCAAAACACAAAATATAAAACGAATTCAAAACTCAAAATATAAAACTGAAACACGAAGAGAACGGCCCCTTAGTTCCCGTTTGTTTCTTATTTTTTATCTATAAAAATGAAAAATATGACCGTTATCCATCAAGTTATCAATTTTGAATTTCTATCTCTTGTGCGGGTCCAATAACGATTATATTTTTTATTCTCATTATTTTGAGAATCAAACGTGCCCTTAGTTTATATTAAATTAATGAATTAATTTTAAAAACTTAGAAAATATAAAGTTGATTTTAGGGTTAAATCCACCAATAGCCATCCAATTTTATATTCATTTCATCATGACTACCAAATTTCGTTTTGTTTCATCATAGTCATCCAACTTTATACTTAGCCCCTGTTTGGCACAAATTAAAATTTTCATTCTCATTCTTCTACTCATTTTCAAACACACATTCTTCAATAAANATTCCCTGTGTGAGTGACTTTATCCATATTAGTATATACATTTAGAACTATATATTTTTCCATCACATCAATAGTTTCTCCTTCTTTTTCAACCACACATTCTCTATCAATCTACTATTTCAAAATACATTCCTCTAAAATAATATCCATCAAACACACATTTAGTATTACTGGAGTCGCTCAATGTGATTTTGTTTCACTATGGCCACCCAATTTTATATAACGTTTCACAATGACCAACTAATTTCATATAACATTTCACCATGGTCACCCAATTTTTTTTTCAACATTTTCACTAATTTCAAAAGGGGTAAAACAATAACGTTATATTATATATATAAAATAAATTTTAAAAATAAAAATAAGTCTTTTTTTAATTTAAAATTAAGTTTTTATTTTATTTTAAAAACATTTTTTAAATAAGTTTTTATTTTATTTTATAAGGAGCGATTTTTTAAATAATTTTTAATTTTATTTTATTTTTCTGGGTAATTTTTTTAAAATAAGTTTTTATTTAAAATTTTTAAAAATTTATTTTATATATAATGCAAAATTACATTTTTATCTTTTTAAAATTAAAGAAAATGATAAAAAGAAGTTGAGTGATAATGATGAAACATTATATGAAATTGAATGATCAGGGTAAAATCTTATATGAAATTGAATGACCACAGTGAAATAAAATTAAATTGGATGATAATGGTAAAATAAAATTAAATTGAATGATTATGATGAAATAAAATCAAATTGAATGATCATGATGACACGAAGTATAAAGTTGGGTGGGTGGATTTAACCTTTGATTTTACGACGTGGCGTCCCCCCTGAGCCCAACAAATTCATTTCCATCATTACTCATTAGTAAACCTCTTCAAAGTCCACACTAATCAGTTTCTTTTGCATTTCAATTCGCACAGCAGAATTGAAATACTTCTTGGGAAAAGGTGGGGGCTGTGTTCCTAGCAAGAAGAAACTCCCAAAACCCCCAAAAACAGAAAATACGACAAGAAATGTAAGTCGGCTACAAATGAAGGTAAGTCGGTTAATAAAGTCGGCCACAAATGATAACCTGAAACCAGTTTAAGTGTGAAAACAAGGGTGCAAAAATGAACAGTAACTTTGCTATCCCCTCTTTTAATAGAGTAGTGATAAAATAAATAATATACTAATCACTTTCAATTTTCTCAGTAGTTTTCCATTCATTCACCATGTACTTCTTTCGTCAAACCATTTGAAAATGAATAATGTTATTTATCATTATGACGGTGGAACATCAGTAATGTGATAGTATATGTGGAATAATGTGATTAGTCAGTTCAATTTTTATGAGAGGAAGAGAAAAGTGCGAAAAGTGAGGAATAATGAGTTGTCACATCATCGATATTCTATCATCATAATAATAAATAATATTACTCTTTGAAAATGCATCTTTACGCTCATTTAAAATGTTAAAATGAATAACAAAAAATACTTAGTTCCCGTTTGTTTCTCATTTTTCATTTATAAAAATGAAAAATATGATCGTTATCCATCAAGCTATCAATTTTGAATTTCTATCTCTTGTGCGGGTTCCAATACCGATTATATTTTTTATTCTCATTCTAAAATAATGAGAATCAAACGTGTCCTTAGTTTATATTAAATTAATGAATTAATTTTAAAAACTTAGAAAATATAAAGTTGATTTTAGGGTTAAATCCACCAATAGCCATCCAAATTTATATTCATTTCATGATGACTAACAAATTTGGTTTTGTTTCACCATAGCCATCCAACTTTATACTTAGTATTACTAGAGTCGCTCAATATGATTTTATTTCACCATGGCCACCCAATTTTATATAACGTTTCACCATGACCAACTAATTTCATATAACATTTCACCATGGTCACCCAATTTTTTTTTCAACATTTTCACTAATTTCAAAAGGGGTAAAACGATAACTTTGTGTTATATATATAAAATAAATTTTAAAAAATAAAAATAAGTCTTTTTTTAATTTAAAATTAAGTTTTTATTTTATTTTAAAGACGTTTTTTAAATAAGTTTTTATTTTATTTATAAGGAGCGATTTTTTAAATAATTTTTAATTTTATTTTATTTTTCTGAGTAATTTTTTTAAAATAAGTTTTTATTTTAAATTTTTAAAAATTTATTTTATATATAATGCAAAATTACAGTTTTATCTTTTTAAAATTAGAAAAAATGATAAAAAGAAGTTGAGTGATAATGATGAAATATTATATGAAATTGAATGATCATGGTAAAATCTTATATGAAATTGAATTACCACGGTGAAATAAAATCAAATTGGATGATAATGGTAAAATAAAATCAAATTGAATGATCATGATGAAATAAAATCAAATTGAATGATCATGATGACACCAAGTATAAAATTGGGGGGCCGGATTTAACCTTTGATTTTACGACGTGGCGTCCCCCCTGAGCCCAACAAATTCATTTCCATCATTACTCATTAGTAAACCTCTTCAAAGTCCACACTAATCAGTTTCTTTTGCATTTCAATTCGAACAGCAGAATTGAAATACTTCATGGGAAAAGGTGGGGGCTGTGTTCCTAGCAAGAAGAAACTCCCCAAACCCACAACAATTGTACATGAATCCCCACCCGAATCCACCTCCAACACCACGGGCCGACCAGACCCATCCAAGAACCTCAAGCTTTTCATAGTTTTTTACTCAATGTACGGCCACGTGGAGGGCCTGGCCAGGCGGATGAAGATGGGTGTCGACGCCGTTGATGGCGTCGAGGCGGTGCTGTTTCGGGTGCCCGAGACGCTGTCTGATGGTGCCCTGGCCCAAATGCGGGCCCCGCCTAAGGACGATTCGATTCCGGTAATCGGGTCCCCTGCAGACTTGGTGTCGGCGGATGGGTTCTTGTTTGGGTTCCCGACGAGGTACGGGTGCATGGCGGCCCAAATGAAAGCTTTCTTTGATTCGACTGGACAGTTGTGGAGGGAGCAGAAACTATCTGGGAAGCCTGCTGGATTCTTCGTCAGCACCGGAACTCAAGGAGGTGGCCAAGAGACCACTGCGTAAGCTTTTTACTTTCCTATTGTTTTTTGCTGTGATAAGTTGATTGTTGTGATTAAGCATAGACTGTAAGAGAAACGTGGTGAAAGAGGCTATTTGTTGATGCTTACTCTGTTTACACACAACTTAAAGATTGTTTCTACATCAGAGCTCGAGCCTTAACGTTGGAAGTATTTCAAGCTATGTAGGATATTATGTATGAACTCAAAATAGATATATATGAAGTCTACAATAAGATGGAAACTTGAATACGAAATGTCCACTTATTTCAAAGCTATAAAAACTCATATAATGCTGTAGGTCGTGCACTTATGCATGGTTAAATAGTGAAATTATTTTCACAGAACTTGATCAAGTGCTACATCTACTCAAAAGGTGTTATAAAATCAAGTGGCTGACAACCATAGCATTCACATTGATTTGTTGCACATTGGGAAGTTAAAGAAATAGAAAGAATGGGAAAAAGAAAATAGAGAAAAGAAGAGGAAACAAATAATTGAGAGATAAAAGAAGGGCTGAGTTTCTATTTGATTGAATAAATCACACCAATAATATGAATTGTTCAACAATATTAGTCTTGTATAGATGTAACAAAAATGCAAAGTTGCCAAATAACAATACGGGGAACTTAAGAATCAATAATTATTACCATAAAATTAATCAGAATCTCCTTTCTTTTTTAGAATAGAATAAATGTGTAGTTTTGGCAGCTCTCCAATGCAGTCCATCACCCTCTCCGTTCATGTCTTAACTTTTGTCCTAGGATCACAATCTTGTAAATGGAAACTTAAACTCATGTATAATATTTTTTTTCTCAACCATGCATTGTTTGGAAAGGCTCAGTTGGGTTTACCAGGGCATTGGCAAAACTATAAAATAATTCAGTAAAATATAAAATACAAAAATGTGTTCAAAGTAAACCATAAACCATCTTGGAAATTAATAATAAAACGAATTAACAAAATAAAAGGTCTAACTTGCAAGTAAGCATAAAATAGATCGATCAAGTAGCAATGATAAATTCATAACTTAGTATTCACATAAAAAAGTTGTAATGTATTTCTACTGCTAGAAGTAGAAACAACCTAAAGTCCCATATCTCCTCTACTAATAGAATAATTTATAGAGTCGTTTTCATATTGCTCCCTACACTATTTTCATCGCCAGTAGTTTCTGCCAATTATTTGTGATTATCCTCTTCATATAATGGTGCATTATTTTTTCCCTTCCTCTTCTGTATCAAGGCATAAAACAGAAAAAATAAACCATAAAATGCTGTAGCCTAGAAAAAGATTCCCAAAAGCTAACACTGGTAATAAAATGCATAGCATACACCCTAGTCACCTTGAGGTTTTCCATTGAGGCATAAGCCTCAAGTGACACTCTAGGCATTAAATGAAAGCCTCAAGACTTAAGCCTCGAATAGCTTTTAGAACAACCCACCCATGTAAATTTTCATTCTTTTAGATTATTGGCATGACATTCAGCATAAAACTTCTTATCACTCCGTATCACATGCCTTTCCTAAATCAGTAAACATTGTATGCGAATTTTGGTTCTTTTCTCTACACTTTCTTTAATTTCTAAAATAAATGACTTCTATAACCGATTCTCATGACTAATGGCACATTTCTTCTATGAGACTTGTAAGCTTAATAACTTCGTAGTTGTTATGATTATATATCTTCTTTATTGTAGTAATTAAGTATAAAAGCAGTCATCCTCTATCCATAAATCATCATTAATCTTTAGAATATTATTAGTTAGTTTTATAACTCTTAAATACCCTCTCCTAGCTCTGATGGAAATTTGTCGTGGACTTCCCTCATTTGACATGTCAATCCTTTACATTTCCTTGCTCTCAAAGCCTGGATCATTTAGTATTGCTAACATTCCCATCTTCAATAGAGTTTTACTCATCTCCAAGTTGCATGTTATGCCTTTCATGGGATGATATGTCTAACCTGACTGGTCAAAAGCCTCAGAGTTTTATATTTCACTAAGACATTGGAAAAAGAAATGGAGAGTAGTTTTGGAAGAGAGAGGCTGGAAGGGGAAATAAGAAACTGGTCTCAAAAGTTGGTAATCATCAATATACTTTCAATTTTCAAAATTACATACTTAACCATTACAACCTACAGAAACTGGGAAGACAGGTTTTCTTTGTCCATTAAATGCTTTGTGTTTTTATCATTTCACACCAATTTTTATGTTTGATATCTGGGAGGTTATATCAGACTTGATATGGATGCTTTTGGATTCAATTAGAACTGTTTTGAGTTATGATAATTTTGTTATACTAACATGTACTATCTCTCTAATCTGCTGGCACATTGTACAATGAATAACCACCACCATGTTAGGAATGAATTTTGGGGAAACTCTGATTTGGCAAGTATCCCGCCTTTTGACTTGAGATAGAGAATGAGACAGCCTATTAAATAGATGCTATTTATTGAGAGATCTTACATTATGAGACTTTTGTAAGGAGATCTGATAACAGCTGTCATTATTACTTCTAGTTGAGGCTGCGGGCTTTTATTATTCTATAATAGTTATACTGGCAATTGAACTCAGCAAGTGTGAGGGGGAACATTGGCAGTGGAAGGGTTATGCTGTTCTGATGTGTCCATGGCATTTGGGAAGGAAAAGCTGTTTTATTAAGGAAATGAATGGCATTTTGGATCTCAATTTTTTATGCTACTGTTTTGAAGGTTATCTTATAAAAAAACTTGGAAAACAAAGAGTCTTTTTGTTTCACCACTTAGTGATTGAAGTTAGACTAGACGCCCTTGTTGTTTTCTGCCGTGTTCATTGCATACGGTGAGTCCATCAATTGGTCCTATTCCATAGAACTTTTGTATGTGAGAAAGAATTGACACGACGGAGATCTATATCTGGAGATTGATTTAAAATTATAGAATCTAAATGTTGATAATCTTTGCTGTGATCGAGAGGCTAGCTCAGGATTATTATCGTTTTTTGGTTTCTGGAAGTTTCTGGTTTGGTGCCTCAAAAGCTGCAGTACTGGATCATTAGCTCTATTACCGTGATCATCCATAAAAGACCCCCTTTCAGAATCTCAATTACTCAACAACCAGGGTTGTTTGATATTACTTTAAGAGATATCAATAAAGATTAGGCGCTAGCTCGTTTTCATCATTTATGGCCTGATTTCTGTTTCACCAGAATCTTCTTTAAACATCAGCGTGGTTGGGTAATTGTAACGAGTGCAAATTTTGTGTATGTTGAGGATTACTTGGATATTTCTTACTTTAAAGGACATATGATACAGTTTTGAATATGTTCATTTCCTCGTACCACCCTAAAACTTACAAAATGCACCATTTAAGACCTTTAGCATCTTCATCAGATTATAGAGGATGATATCATATTATATGTGTGAAGTATACCTGGTTTCCAAATGCTTCAGCCATTCATCTCTCTCGGGTTTGAGGTTGAGACCATGCATGCCCTGTAAAACAGAATTCGCTTGGTCCCAAATGTAAATATATCCCTTTCTTTTGTGTTGCAGATGGACAGCCATCACTCAGTTAGCTCATCATGGGATGCTATTTGTTCCCATTGGGTATACTTTTGGCTCTGGTATGTTCAAAATGGATTCCATTAGAGGGGGTTCTCCATACGGTGCTGGGGTCTTTGCTGGGGATGGTACAAGAGAAGCAAGTGAAATGGAGCTGGCCCTGGCAGAGCATCAGGGTAAGTACATGGCTGCTGTAATCAAGAAGCTAGCTCGAGGTTGAAAATTTTAGGGACCGTTCTCTTCGTATTTCAGTTTTGTGTTTTGAGTTTTGAATTCATTTTGTGTTTTCTATTTTGAGTGTCTGTTTTGGAATTGCTGAAAACGCGTTCTCTTTATCATTCTGAAAAACTGTTTCTCAAAATAGAAAACTTGAAAACGCGTTTATTTTGAAATTTTGAGAATATTTTTTTTAAAAATATTTTATTCAATAAATCTGATTATTCAATAAATTTTAATAGTTTAATGTTAATCGATTAAAGAAAAAAATTAATGAGGTAACATTGCTAAAATTCTCTCGTCTAATTCAAATGCTTTGTCTTATTTTTGTGTCCAAAAAAAAAAAAAATGAATATATTATCTTCATCACGTTCTTCATACAAAGATAACAAATTTTTCGAACTATTTAAGAAACGAAAGGAAACTATTTTTCACTCTTATGTACAACTTAAACTAAAAAAATGGTAACATAACAAGCAAAACAGAGTATTTTACAAATAAGTATTATTCCAACTATTGAATCTTTAGATGAATACTTTCGTTCTCATGCGAGCATAATGAGTACAACACTCAACCTCCAAGGCGGTCGAGATCATTGTGCTCACTGCCAGCTTTTTCCCTCTCATTTTGAGAGTTTCCATCAATGTCAAAATGCAAAAGTTTTGGATGGTCGACAAGGTATCTGAAGTAGACATGAAGATAATTGTCAGGCATCAAGAACCCAAAGGTTGGATTATCTCCCTGTTTCACCCGCAGAACAATCTCTGTTGGAGGCTGGAAAAAAGAGGCACAAAGCAAGAAAGAAAGAGAACTCCATCAAAAATGAGAATCTCAGAACTTCTCAACATTATGTCAAGGCTAAAATTTGCAAAACATTAATTAAGACATTAATTAATATATTACAATATAAGATAAAAAGATACTTGAAGTCATACAAAGATACAACTGAGTTAATTAGCTATCAGATAAATGACAACTAATTTAGAAGCTAATAGTAAAAGAAATGACAATGGAAAAATGAAAAAAAACTACATTAGAAAATCTGTCCAAAAAACAGTCCTCGAAATTTTTTAAAAAAATGATTCCAATGCATATCATCTATATTTTAGAATAAAAAATTTATATATATATAAAGTGGTAAATCTATATTTCAAATTATAATTTTTTCTTTAAAGTGGTAAATTACACACACACACACTAACACTAAAAGTTATTTAAAATTTTACATAGGGAATAGAAAATAGTTTATATTACTAACTTAATTAAGGAATATGCATATTAAATAGTTTCCAGATATGTAAAACGTATCTAGAAACACAGTTTAGACTTGTATGCTTAATAATAATAGTTTGATGCTGACTAATGGAGAAAATAACAGTATCAGGGGAAATGATAAGGCTAAACTGACCTGAAGCTGTTGAAAAACTTATCCTTGAATTACCCTTTGGACTGGAATCAGCAACACATATATCAGGTTATGTTTAAACAAGGCAATTGTAAAATTGATGTGTTTACGCGAGAAGACAAATGATCTCAGCGTGAAACAAAACATACCTTGGGGAGCCTTCTGTTGAACTTCATGCCAGAAACTGTTGTGTGCACTTCCATTTCTGTTCTCAGAGCATTTCCCTGTTGTGTTCCTACAGCAGATATCTGCATAACACAATTCAGATTTCATCATTTCAATCCAATCTGTGAATAATATGTACACACCTTTATATCATGAAAAGAACTCAAATGGATAGTATTCCAGCACAAGGAATGGGAGGAAAAATTTTCAATGGATCTAATCGCAAGATTGGGATTTACCGCTATGTAACTACGATTAAAAAGGCTTCCACTAGAGAACTTGGAAGCCCTGTGGTTTCCTCCAGGTCCAAGACCATGTTGGCTGACATCATTGGAAACCCAGTGTGCTAAAATTGCCCGATCACTTTGTAGAATCTTATGAGTGTGCCTAAACTGTAAAATTTGAAATATATGCTAATGTTAACGAAAACACATAGATAAAACAAAATACAGATTGTCTATCATGAAGATCGAGACAAGCAATTTTAAAAATCCAGGTACAGCAATTAATGTAGTCATTTTATTGACAATAAGCATCATCCTTATTCCTTATCTATTCCCTTTTAATTAAAAAGAATGTCATTTTTACTGGGTAACTGGTAAAGACCTTCATGTGACACCCTTCAAGGGAAGATTAAACCATCCTCTGTCCATGTCAAAAATAATAGCTCTTGCAATAACTCAGAACAAGAATACTAGAAGAAAATTTTCTTTTCCACACATAAATATAAGGCTAATATGCTTACCTTCTTAACTCGAAATGCATATTTCGGGACTTGAAGCAACCAGGATACTCCCTCTAGCCTATCTCAATTAATTTTTGTGTTAAGTGAGAAACTAAACATGAAATGAACCTCTCAGCAAGGATATGCTCCTTAGCTTGCCTTACTGCCCTCTGATATCCTTCTCTTGTCATGGTGGACTGACTTAATGAAGGGCCAAAAGGGCTAGTAGACAATTTAATTGAGCCCAAAGGCAGCTGAGGACTGAACTTGATAGCCAAGTTAAACATAACAATAAAAAGCAACATTAAACATAGAAATGTTGGTCTTCAAATTAAAGCCATACTTACGGCACTATATCATGCACTCTTGACACTAGAGCTTCTAATCGACTCATCCCATCATTGTAGGCCTCTTCAACAGAAGAGAACTGATCCAACCTTACCCAGAGTATCACATATGATTTCTGCGAGTAATAAATAAGCAAGCATTTAACTATACGATGAATAAAAAATCAGAATAATAAACTTCAGATAGCAACCACAAGTGTAGCTAGAGGTCCTAAATTCATTCCTATAAATAAGATGCACCTGTTATAAGAAAACATATAACCAACAAAAAACTGAAAGAATATTATTCTTCGTCTTGGCCTCGAAAAGAATTATCAAATATTACAAGTTTCTAGCCATATCAAACTAATATAAAAAAATATGATCAAATAATATAATAGATTAACAGGATTGCTAGGTGAAATGTTTGACAGAAATAATCAGGATATTCTGCGAATCATGTTTAATCTTCTTACACGGTGCAATTTGCATTTCATTGTAACGGAGTTGGTGCAATTCTGTTTGAACAACAAATGAATTTGCTTTTCAAGTATAAGCAAACTATCTGTTCCAAAAACTATCTGTTCCAAAAAAATTACCGGAATTCATAGGCTTCTAGAGCTGCTTCATCGTCAGAATCCTTGTTAACTACCAACATATATTCTATTACATTCCTTAAATGTGGGTGCATAATTAAATCGAGAACTATATAAGGGAACAGCAGCAGGTGCAAATAGGAATATTGGTGAAGAATAAATTGTCAATTATCAAATAAATCGGGAACTATATAAGCATTTTCCCCATACCTAGCGAATCAAATAAATATAAATCATTCAAAACTTCAATTGATCAATTGTTGGTAAAATTTTGTTAAAAATCACCGTGTTCGTCTCTTCAATGGGTCATCGGCGTCGAAGAGAGAGAAAGCAGAGACGGGCCCAATGGTGCATCTCCTTCGTCGCCGGTTGCAGTAGGTCGCCGGCTTCGAGAAGAGAGAAGGAAGAGATGGGATTGGAAGAAGAGAGGAGGAAGAGATGGTTCTCATCCTTTTCCAATTTTGGGCAATTTTTGAGCGTTTCCCGTGTTTTTTACTTTTGGGGTGTTTTACATAGAAAACGTTCAAAATGATAAAAATGCCATTTTCTGTTTTCAATACAATATTTTTTTTTGTTTTCAAAAACACGTTTTCGAAAATAGGAAAGAGAACGCGTTTTCACTGTTTTGGAAAATCGAAAACAGAAAACAGTTTGAAAACGACAAAGAGAACAGGCCCTTAGCTTTCCGAGTCATTTGAACTTATATTCATTGCATTGGTGTTGACATTTTTCCATTTTCCTTGTTTTGCGATGTCCTCTTTAGTCGGTAGTTTTATGGTCAACCCGCCCTTTTCTTTGTGAAATTGTGCATATTTTGTGTTTTTTGACTGGTTACAGTATAATAAGTTCGTGCCTGGATTTGTTGCTTATGTATATTTGTCGACTCGACTTGATCTGAGGAATAATCTGCTGCGGAAGACTTGACTTGTCAACGTGATCATATTGGCTTGAAGTATCCAAATTGATGGTGGGGTCACTGTCCTAAGTTTCTTTGATGACTCACTCATCTTCAATCGTGAGTATACACTCTGGCATGGCCACATTGCACTTAGTTGCTACCATAGAGTCAAATAAAGCATTTTAATTTTGTTTTTGCAAATATATTCAAAAATAACTTTTTAATCTTTAAAAGTAGCTTTCGACATTTTAAAAATCATGCCAAATAAGCGACTCGTGTGTACTTTATCACATTTGACAAAAAAAAATAAAAATAAAGCCTCTGAGGTAGGTTTGGGCATCGAGTGGGTTGATACGGTGTATTTCAATATTCATAATCACCCATTAAACTTAGGGTATTTTGTCCATGGAATTATTCGAATGCTTGTAATTAGTGAAAACAAACTCATACGCGAATTGATGATTTCGGTTCGATTCTATCCGTAACATTTTTTTATATAAATCTGATAAATATTCTATATATGCCATTTCAATACATATTAATACACGCTACTACCCGACAGTATTTATGCAAGAAAGTAACTCTAGCTAAGAAATCTTCAAAAAGTAAAATAGTAAAGACTAAAAATCACCAAAAAGTATACATTAAAATATCAATTTTTTTTAAAATAAATTTTATTCGATCCATAAGAGGCATGTTAGAGCCTATAATTTAATTATGAAAAATGTTTTAAGCCGTTCTTCTCTTAAAACACACTAACATAAAAATATTAATTAGATACGATAACTATATCGTATCAAAAAATTAAAGTTCAACCAAAAAGGAATCTCACAACCCCAACTATGAATATTATCACGCATTATAATGAAAACACCTTTTAAGTTCATAAACAATGCAAAAGTAAAAAGCTTGAATTACAAAGAATGAACAATTTTATTTATTTTTTTGGTTTCCCATCACAGTCTTTCACAACACTTACCGTTCAATTCTGATTAAAATGCTCAGGTCAGCTGTGAGGAGAGAACAAACTATTCCGAGCCCAACAAGCTATAAGCTCATTTCCATCCGCCCTGTTAAGAGAGTGAAAAGGTTATAAATAACAGAGAAAATAATTAGAAAAACCCGAAGTAAAATCAACCATTTACTCGATGAGACTTGACTGACTCACTCTCCTCTTCGTTTAGTCTCGATCAATAATCGAAATCAGTAAGGTATGAATATTTTTCATCTATTTTAAGTGTCTTTTAATCCGATTAATAATAAAATTTCTCTCAAATTATCACAATGCATCTTTTCTTTTCAGTTTTTTTCCTAGTACGAAGGCTATGATTTTTGTATTATATGATTGTGTGCATATAATTTGTTGAAAATTTTCATATTTTAGTTCAATGTTTATTTATTTGAATTCTCAAGCTCCACTTAGGGTTTTGTTTGTTGTCCTTCTTTATATTTTGGGTTGTCTAACGCATAATTTGGTTATTATGGATTGTAGAGAAAGTTTGCTTGATATAAAGAGAAGGAATTTTCCATTTAAACCAACCAAAGCAAGGGAAAAAAGGTTTTGCAGTAGACGTGTTGTTAGAAAATCTAATAATCAAAATCTATAGAATTATCTGAACAAATTAAGTAAGTGTGTATTGGATTGTGCATTTATTTTTATCAAAAAGGAAATTGGTTATTTTAAAACCTACATTTTCACTTACAGGAAGACTTTGCGAAACATGCTTTGGGAATCTTGCTTGACCAAATAAGTAACTAAAAGTCTAAAATGTAAGTTTGATTACTTTTAAACGTGTTGAACATGCTCTAATCCTTTTTCGCGTCCTTAAATGCTTACAAGTCCAATATTTAGAAAGGCTCAATCACTACCAAGCGAGTGGGTGCTTGGCTAAGAATCAAACTTTCTTACGAAGTGAAAGGCGTATTTTGATATGTATGTCTCAACACAAACCTATTAAATTTTTTTTTTCTTAAATGTAACGAATGTAAATATGCCTGTAATAAGTGAAAAACTATCATGAAATTCATAATAAAACAATTTACCAAGATTAGTTTAACTTGCATATAAATATAAAATAGATTGATAAAGTAGTAATTAATAAATCGTCAAATTAGTAATCACGTAACAAAATTGTATGCCTCACATGAGGCCTTCATTAAGCTCTCGAAGCTTACAGCTTGAGTGCCATTTTTTTTTGAAGGCTTATGCTTCGACTTACTAAGTTGCACACCTCAGAGCATAGATGTGGCTGCTAAGTTATGCATTCATGGAGGAATTAACCTACTCTCTCCTTGTGCTCTACTATAGAACATCATTCCTCTATATGCAAGTCAAATCTTTCCCTCCATCTTCATCGCTACATTTTTATGTGAGATGATGAAAATGCATCTTTCCGTGGGTTCCATTTTGGAAGCTGAGAAAACTAGGAAATGAAGGGATAACCATCTGTCTGCGGTCAAACTCTTTTTGCTTGATGGATGCAATCCATGAGCTTTTGTCACATTCTAACCATTACTCGAAATCCAATTGATTGGTGTTTTGTTATTATTATATTTATGACATATCTTAAACTTAATTGGAAATTACTAATGATGTTTTTGATGTGTGTTGTAGTTATCTCTAGCATAGTAGCACATAATGGATGCATATTTTGTTGAGTCTTGATACTTATCTACAAGAAGAAGATACAGCAAGACAATCCTTATTGTCAATAATATTGGTTTGGATGCGTAAATCTTTTTTCATCACTCCATTCCTTCTAACACTATAACTCCTGAAAGGTCTAAAGAAATCAAACAATTTTAAACTACATGTAGTCATTAATTTGGTTTACCTCATCCTCTTCTAACCTATTCTACTCGGATCACATTTATTTTGTGAATTGGAGTTTCTTTAGGTACACACATGACATACTCAAAGCATCTAACTTGTCCTTCCCTAAATTCCCGTTCTGTTAGTGCCACCTCTACATGTTTGTATATATCCTCACTTTTTTATTTATTCTCGTGTGATAATACATTCATCTTAATACCCATTTCGTACATATAGTTCTAATAAGCACAAGTGTGATGTAGAATTTGTCTTTCAACTCAGCAATAATTATCCATTTGATTCAAACCACTCTAATTAAAAGCCAATAATTAAAAATAAAATATTAATGATAAATCAAATCTACAGAGCATAGGCTACTTAGGTCTTTGCCATGGGCTTTGGCTGGGAATTGCATTTTGTGTTATTTATGTTGGTAAAGTTCTATTCTACTACAATATCACCTTAGTATAATTATTTTGGTGGCATTTTTCAGCTTTGCAAACAAAGCCAACTTGGAAATAGTTGTGATAGTCCAAGTGAATTGATTGCATCGTTTTTTTTTCTTTGAACCTTTTGTAAGAGTTCTCAATTTAAATTCGAGTTTCGAAACATGTTACTCTTTTTGTGAAATACATAAGATTTTTGACCATACTGTGATTGTTGGCAGAGGTAATTGTGAAGATGTAGAAATGGGGATGAAACTGCATTCACAAAAGTAAATTTTATGAATATAAAATCAGAAAGTTACGAGAGTAAGTTAAAGTTCCTGCGTGGGTAATTATTCATTCAGTTACCTTTGATGTGCATGATCGTCTCTGTATAGATTCTTATTTATATGAATAAACATCTGTTATGCACTTTGATCTTGGTTTACATCAACAATGTCCATTTTTTTCAAGTCCTTTGAAATGATTGTCTCTATTGACCATAGCCTGTTTTGTATATTTAAAAGAGGAGCACAGTTCATTAATGGACTTAGCGGATTGATGGAACAGGTAGTTGAACCGAAATGCATTATAATATTAATAAGTAGGCAAATTTTATAACCTTTAGGGGTTGCTCAATTAGTCAGGCCTTGGGTTTGCTCCCCAATGATCACCAGTTCGAGTCCCCTCAGGGCCACTGAGGTGAATATCCGGCCGTAAGCTTCAGGGCCCCGTGGAATTAGTCGAGGTGCGCGCAAGCTGGCCCGTACATCCACGGTTATCAAAACAAAAAAAAAAAGTAGGCAAATTTTATCAATTTTTCCTATCTTAAAATTGCGGAGCCAGAATTCTGGTCAATGATAGCCCAAAATCCACAATTTTGTTAGTTTGTTGCTCCATAAGACACTACGTAATTGATCATTTGACAGATTAATTTGCTCCACAACACTACATGGCTTATCAAACACTTGCTCAAGGAATGTCCCTAGAGTAACCCTTGAGCACAAGAAATTTAAAAAATAGGGTACCATATGTGGCTTGTTGGACCCATGTTAGAGTATATGAGGTGTGATAGTGTCCTACAAGGCACAATACACGTCTGACACAGACACATGTGCCCTAGTAGGAGTGTTCGTTTTACACGGCTGATGGATAAACGATACATTGGAGCAGTATACATGAAGTTATACTGGATAGAGAAAAAAATGACTTTAACTGAAATCCTTCACACGGTCTTAAAAAGTGAATCATTTCCTTGTGTACTGGAACTTTATACCGGATTAGCTACTTGCTGATACTAAAATAATTAAATATATTCTATATATAGAGGTAAAATAATAGCTTTAGGAAGTACAAACTACGGACTTGTTTCCTCTATCATGATTTCTCTCTACACTCTATTTTATTAATCGGCTGCTGTATGTAATTTTTATTTGTGGCTGCAGTATCAAGTAGGACTTATCTAATTACAAGTAAATGGATCGTGGGAAAAGGCCGGACAAATTTCTTGGTATGCTGAACAGTAAGATGTATATGGACCTCAGTGATATTATAAGGGAACATGCCCTTCCTTTCCTACCTGCAAAATCACTTTTCAGGTTTCTGTGTGTTTGTAGAGGCTGGAAACTTAAGATATCGAATCCATTCTTTGTCCATAATCAGTCAATTTGTTGTGGTTCGACCTTGGGTTTCTTTAGCCAAGTACCTGGAGAACTACCATCGTTCGTCTCCGACGACCCAAAAGCTTGTGGTGTACCGGACCCCTCTTTGAGATTTTTGCCTGAGCTAATTGACATTTTGTCAGCATCCAATGGACTGCTTTGCTGCCAATCTCAAACTGGGAATAAAGCCTACTACATTTGCAATCCTGTTACCCAGCAGTGGAAGAAACTTCCAAAACCAAATGCTAATCATGGGTTACATCCTTCAGTTGTGCTCATATTTGAACCATCCCGGCTCAACTTTGAGGCTGATTATAAGCTTGTTTGTGCCTTTCCATCTACTGACTTTGATGATGCGACTGAATTTGAGATATACTCCTCCAAAGAAGGATCCTGGAAAGTTTCAGGAGAGATTTGTTTTACTAAATATACTGTGGAAACAAAATCAGGGGTTCATGTGGATGGGGTTGTTTACTGGAAATCAAGGGGTATTCTAGCTTATGATCTGACAAAAGATAGATCACAAATGCTCCGAAACTATCAATCAGGAAATGGTGTTTTAGGAACGATGAATGGAAAACTTTGCTTAGCTTATGCTATTGGGCACTCTATAATGGTTCAAGTATTGGCTAATACCCACAGTAACACCATGCAAATGAGCACACGTGCCAGCATGTGGGAAGAGAAACAAAGAGTAGTTCTTGACAAGAAAGTGATTGGTGGGCTTGTATCTGAACTGGATGTGGTTGCTGCTGCCGGTAACAAGCTGTTGGTTCAGCAGGCCGGAAAACTATATGTTTATGACTTGCTTACAAAAGAAACTAAAGCACTGGGCATGCCATCTACAGGTCGTTACACAAGATGCATACCTTACGTAAATAGCCTTGTGTGCCTCTAATCTTCACGTGTTGCAACATTCAAGAACTTCCTGAGTGAAGCTAGTTTTTAGCCTTGAAGATATCGACCTGCAGCATTCGTAGCTCAAAGTTATCGTCCCAAATGAACTTGTCTAGGTTTAATATTGCTATATCGTAGTTTCTGATTCAAACATGGATAAATGCTGTTTGCGTGCGCGTGTGCGTGCGCATGTATTTTTTTTCCCTTCCCTTTTGTGTCCCGAACGAACTTACCTCTGGAACGCAATTTATGGAATACTGTTCTGAATTTGGGTTTTGGGTACTAATTTGGTAGCAAATTTGATCCATGAAAGAAGCTTTTCCACGTTCATATGCTTTTTAAGGGTCAATTTGATTGCAAGAATAAAATTTCGGTGGAAAGAAAATGAATTTCAGATAATTGAATTGTCTAGAACTTGTTTTACTGAGAATTGTCAATTAATTGTGTTTGATTGATATAATTTTCCACCTGAAAAATATTGAAATTTTGGATCTTTTAGTGTTCGTTTGACTTTATTTTCCATGAAATTTATCTATTAAAGGGATATAATTTGTTTCAATTACCAAAAAAAAAGTTGTCTAGAAAAGCTTTTCCCACCAAGAAAATGTGAGCATGTGGGAAAAGCTTTTCCTTAAAAATCAAGAAAATGTGAGCATGTGGGTGAAAGATGGAAAATCAATTCCATGGAAAATTTGGATAATCAAACATGAAAAAAGGTGAAAAATAGAATTTAATTTTCATCTTCCATGGAATTGAAGTGCAATCAAGGCGTAAATTTTCACTTCTCTTTTGTCGGAACCTAATAGTTAAGTGGATTGGTGGAGGTGACGTGCAGAAATTCAGATTCGTTTGTCAGAATATTTATCCACGCTGATTTATCCGCCCCAAATTATTATGGAACAAATATATCTTTCATGTATTCAGTGATCTGATACCGGAACATGAATTGTGGTGTACAATTTGTGCACTCGATGAGATTCTTCAGGATGAAACACAATTGTTAAGGAGTGAACATGCATGTTTTTGGTTTAAATTTCATCCCACTCAAGGATAGTCACTCATTCAAAAGCGTGCATCACGTTGTGCAAAGATGGTTCCTTCAAATTAATATGAACAAAATGCTTATTACCCTTTTTGGCCTCCATTTTCTATATTTTATCGACTTTTTAACTACGTATTTTTTCAACTTTTATCAAATCTATTAAAAATATGATATTTAACTAAACCAAACAGGGGCTAATTATCAAGCTAGCCACACAATTCAAGACCAACTAGGCACCTAACCACTTGAATGAACTACCTGCAAAAATCTGTCCAAATATGAGATACTAGTTAAGTGCCTATACCAATAAGATGTCATTATTAAACATACGTTTGGTTCGTGATTATAAATGACTTGTGAACGCTCAAGTCACTTTTTATCAACACATTTTGAAACATTCACAATATTATCCACTTATTAACCACTTAAATCTATATATTTATAATTTAAACGATTTATATACAATTCACAAATATGCTTCAAAATTTAATTGCTTCAACCTTGACCACTTGCATCCCCACTGCTCCCAAATATGAAGAAATCTCACATCTGTGTTCTATCACCCAAGCGGTAAACCACTAAACCTGGGTGTACAAGTAGCATAAATCTTCCACTTAACTTACCCTACTTCCGCATTGTGCTCCCTTGTATTTGATATGACACGGGTGAGGGAGGAGGGGGATTACGAGATCTGAATACCCATACGCCAAGAAAACTCAAGTTCGTCAGCTTAAATGCTAATAATGAAATCGAATAAGAACCCAAGTACTCATTTTGCTATATAATGGAGACTAAATTAATGTCAATAATGGAAAGGATGGATATAATTTTAAATATTATAATGGGGTAAAATAACATGCAATCACTTATACAGAATCAGCGCAAGACACTTTCAATGCAGCCACACAGTGACACCAACATTCCTCAACAACCATTGATAATAGTGACTGGTAACGCACTTTAATTGCAGTATTTCAATCCCCACAACAGGAGAATTTTCCCTCTCAATAGCCCTATCTTTTAACGTACCACCAATCATAATCAGCTAACCAGTAGAAGAATGTGCACATCATTATTAAAGTAGGCAAATCAAGCACTTGACAACCAAACTCGAGTTAAAAATGGTCCAAAATCATGTCATTTAGACAAATACAGGAAATTTAGTACTGATCACAAGCCAACAACACAAAGGGCATTTATGTTTTCCAGCACAGGGATAGGTCAAAGAACATAGATAAGCATAAGGAACATTACTAAAACATAAAGAAAATGGTCTCCGAGCCTCTAACTAGATGATACCACCAGAAGTATGTCTTCAAGGAAAACGTGACTGCAACAAAACTTGAAAGTCAGAATAAGATAGCACTGAGAAAGGACAAGCAAAAAGATCATGAAGCATAGAAAGTTCAGAGCTTGTACAACATTTAGTATTTTTACTACATGAGACAGTAAACATCTCAACGCCGGTAATCACGGTCCCTTTCTTGTGATTCAGATGTATCTCGGACATAACGATAATCATCCTCATCCATTTGATCATGGTCAGCTTCTTTATAGCGGTCATAAACCGCTGGGGCTTCTGGATTGTCATAGTGTCCTCGACTTCGGTGTTCATAGTGCCCATCGTCATGATCAGCTTCTAGTTTTGGGTGTTCATATCTGTACTCAGTCTGTTCATGCCACCCATGTTTATCCTCTGTTTCTGCGCGGTCATCGTTTTTCTCTTTCATATCACGGTCTCGCTCATGTTTTGAATCAGTACCATAGTCATAATCTCTATCACGGGAATGCCCTCGATCAAGGTCATCACCATCTTCAAAATCCCTGTCCCTCTCCTTCTCACTGTGACGATCATGGTCACGACGTTCCCGATCACGATCACGGTCTCGACCACGATAACGGTCTCGTGTTAGCTCTCGGTCATGGTCACGTTCCCGATCATGACCACGATCTCTCTCCCTGTATCTGTCCCTGTCCCTGTTTCTATCACGATCTCTGTGATGTCGATCATCTCTATGATCACGGTCCCTCGGTTTCTCATTAGAGATCTCATGAGACCTTTCACGGGATTTCTCCCTGTCCCTTACCCTTTCACGAGATTTCTCCCCATCCCTCACCCTTTCACGAGATTTCTCCCTGTCCGTGAAACTTTGTGCATCAGTCATCAACAATAAAAATTATAAGATGCTAACATGCAGATGTGACTAAAATGATAAAATCCTTCCATTCATTAGAAAGTAATGAGAACTGACAAGATTCCATGACAAAGATGTGTAAAGAGTTTCGAAACACCTCACATTTTTTCCTTATATTTTACAGTCCTTAAGAAGCAAAACACAAAATGCCTAAAAGAAGATAGCTCACTTTGCACTACTTACTCCATATCATAGAACCACCCACAACACTTTTTGGGACTTTCATTCCTCTAACGCGTTCAGACAGTGGGAAAAAAATTATTGACGACAGCTAATACGAGCAACAAAAAATGAAAGAAATCAACAGACACAAGTTACCTTTCTCGGTCATCTCGTATCCTTGGCTCCTCAGACCTAGATGTTCCTCTAGACTGTAATTGCTCTCTGTACAATTGATAAATGAAAAAATCTCAAGGATATATTATATTCTAAAATGGAAGGTTGGTTGCTTAGAATGCAGAGGCACTTAACAATTGGAGTATATAAAATGCACCAAGTACGATGACGACATGTCAAGCTCATTTACCACAAATAAATATAAAGAACAGAAAAAGGTATCGAAAGAATTATTTTGATACAAAGCATCAAGCCATCAACATTAAGTATTAAATCCACAAAAAGTCCAATCAGATTTGGACAAGCAGCAGAAACATTAAAGTACAACACAACATTCAGTCAGCAAATGAAGAGACCTAAACCAACAGGCAACAAGATATCATAAACCCTGGAAGATGTGTCCTCGGAACTGAACACTTAAAATGGCAAGCAAGCACCACACAACACAAGTAATTATTTTAATTTTCATGTGGAGTTTGAAATTTTCTTTGCTGAAAATCTATTGGGAATAACGCTCAGTATTTTGTTGTTGGTGTTTGAAATTTCCTTCTACATAAGCAGCATTTTCACCTAGAATCAGGTAACATAGGAGCACCAAAGCATGCATAGTGGGAAGTACCCAAGGACTTAGATCACAATATTCGAAAAAAATTTACTCACCAATCATATTTATACATCTTACTACTTAAGCACATAACAAGCAAAGATTTAGCTGATCACGTATTATGAAAAGGAGCTGTGATTGGCACTCCTTTTAAAGCATCTCAAACTTAACATCATCCCATGACAAATGAGATGGCAGTGCCTCCCTTGCCCACATTTTTATGTAATGAGATATGTTCTATCCTATCTTGTTAACCGCCTTAGTATTAAAACCAACCACCACTGAATTTCCATGCCAGAGAAATGGACAAGCATGCAGCCATTGATTAACCTAAAGGCAGTGACAATCTCTGGAGAATACATTTTTGTTTATTTTCTCAATCTACATTCTGGGTTAAAATTGCCACTTTGTTGTCATAAATAAACCAGTGGAGCACAGAGCACTTAATTCACGCAAAGAACATTTCTGTTATGAAAACTTATTCCCTTTAACATCATACCAAGGACAGAATCAAATCTCTCAAACTGAGTTCTCTTCAAGCACAGAACCAGTTGCACTTATTACCTATAGACACTAAAGGTGGCCCAAAGCAAGAACCAAGCTTCTCACATCATTAATTTGAAAACCATACCAAGGAAATGAAAATCTTTGAACCATGAATACTGACATAGCAATTACAGCATTTTTGATCCCTAAGCATTGATCTGTATGGTTACACAGAAAAAATTACATAATGCCATAAAACAACAGAAGGAAAGGCAAAAAAGAAAAAGAAAAGGAAAAGTATGTTGAGGAAAAGGAGAAAAAGTATAAATGGAACAGAAGACTAAAAATGATGTAATGCACAAGCTAGGTTCATATTTCAACTGAATTGTCTAAAATCGAACAAAATTTTGACACGGACACTCAATGTATGTGTGGGTTGATATTATAATTCACAAAAACCCAAGTCATTTAGAAAATATCACTGGCATCGTAATTCAAATGAAAATATTTGAAAATGTCTGTCGTTTTCCCTCTCGTATTTCTAATCTAGCAATCATTCTGTATCATTGTGATAAAATAATCACAATGAACTTAGGCATATACTTATGCATATAAGTCCAATTATGTGGCAATTATGGTTATTAACTCCGTGTACCTTTGGTTAACTTCTTCACCTCCAACCCGAGTTGTTCCCAGCCCACCACCAAGCCTGCGAGGTCGCCAATTAGGAACAGTTCTTCCACGTTCAACGTCCACGAGAACCCTTCTGTTGTCAATCTTTTTTCCATCAGCTTGTTTGTATCCAGCTGCATAGATACAAGCACAAATTACAATAAATAGTTCCAGAATTGGGAAACAAAAGGAAGCGAAGAAGTCTGGAAGAAGACAAGAGGGGACCTTTCATATCACGTGTATGCATATACTCGATGAAGGCATAGCCTCTAGGCTTATTTGTCTCTTTATCTGTAACCAAACGAACCTGAAACTCATAGGAGAGGGTCAGTAAGATATAATTACAGAAGCAAGTCTCTTTGCATCAAAGAACACTTAATTACTTAATTAATATTGTTCCGTACTAATACTAGTATAATAAAAGCCTATTGGCACGGCAGCCAGGCACTATGCCTAATTAGCCGTGCTCACCTTTCAATCATACAGCTTCCCAGGCGAGACGCATCACTGTGACTGCTAGAGTTGCAAAAACCGTGTGCCATTTTACCAGTTGCCACATATACTAATGTCCCCTTACCAGGGAATTTTCAAGATAATAATAAATTAACTATAAATAGCATGTCAATACCGGGATACCTTCCAAATGGCTGAAACATTTTTGATAGCCTTTAAATCCAAAAGTAGAACTTTAGTAGCTGGAATGGCAGCACGTACTAGAAGTAAACGAGAAACTAGAAACTATAGAAAGTAACTAGTCCTAAAGAGGATTTCGAGTCCAAGAAATTCAGAAGTGGTAGAAAAGGATAAGAGGCATTTAGTGAGACCAAATAATACCTGGAAATAATTCCAATCTTGAGTAGACCATTCAACTGTTATTCGATTGCTTGTTATCCTAAACATGCTAAAAATGCCAAGTACACTTTACACTGTGATGCCAAGTAAGCCAAACGTAAAATTTTAAAATATTATTGCAGAAAACAACAATATGCAGAGAGAAAAAATGACACACTCATATGTTACTTGTTACTAAGAAGATTATTTGAAATCATTATATCACAATTATAAAAAAGATAAAACTCAAAATTTTGTTTGTCATTCCTTTTCACTATTTTAAAATGCAAAAATGAAAAATAATGTAACATATTTCCCTGAAAAGACAAAAAGGAGGATAGGACACAGCCACCACATGTGAAACTCTTACCGAACCAAAAGCCAATATAATCTGAGCCCCTTATTGGGTTGCTCTATATAATACCTACCCGCTTGATAGGCCCATAAGCCTCAAACTCCCTTTTGATTCTGCTCTCTGTCATCTCATAATTCTGCAAAGATAACATATTAAGTCAACCAATGGAAGTAATAAACAGTAACTAAGATTCTAATCTCAAAAGGAAAATATTACTCACAAGTCTAGCTACAAATAACGTTTTGTATGGATCTCCAGAAATGTTTGGATCATTTTTTGTGTCATCTGCACAAAAGAAAATAATAATACGAGGTTCTTAAATCCAAGAAAATCAAATTTCTTTGATCTTTTTTTTTTATATTTGGTAAAATAGAAGAGAGCCTCAAATCACATTTCTCCAGCTCCTCAGCAGCCTTTTTTGCACCTTCCTCTAGCCGCATCTTGTGTATCCTAGCTCTTCTTTGCACCTGAATATACCAAATGAAGATAATAATGTACACGTCCAGATATGCTTTGAAAATAAAATAAGGTATGTGGCACTTCCAGGCAAACTACCACAAAAAAATGCAAGGAAGTGGGTTACACTCGTACTTAACCGTTAATATAAATCAACTACAGGAAAAGGTTTACCACAACGCATAAGCGCAATTCTCATCTCACAAAAAAAAGCCTCACTATATCATTAGCCATGTAGAAGCTTCAGTTTCCGACAAAACAATGAGAGAAATTAAACATAATAATAACTGCAACAATATTCCTGATATAAATCATATATGCCAACTAACTCTTCCAGAAAGTTTCCAAAAATATAGCTTCCATGCCAGTTATCATAAACCTTGAAGTCACGAGCTGCTGCATCCGAATCACTTAGATAGCATAGATATTAAGCCCTTGATTGAGCCGAGAAACAATGCATTTTTGAATAGTGATTTTTGGAAAATGCGTGGTTAAAAATGAAGAAAAAGTTTTTGATTTACATGTAATATTATTTTATTGGAGAATGTGGTTGAAAATGAATTTTGAAAAAATGATTTTTTGATAAAATGGGGCTCAAACAAAGGCTAAACCTCAAGACATAGACACAAAAAGTAATATTCATGTAAAATAAATTTTAAATCATCTTTCTAACAGGGTGAATAACACAAGAAATCCTTCTACGTGTGGAATAAGGACAATCAAGTTACTAAAAAAAATAAAAAGAGAAATAATACAAGTTTTATCCAACTTGTACAAGCACTTAAAACACAACTAGACCTTCCTCCTGTATATGTAAAGACAATAGCTCAAAAGGAAAACCTTCACCAAGGAAGCACGTTTTTATAAACCTTTTATGTGAAAATAAAAGGTACATTAGGTTTATGGCAAATAAAATCTTACATGAGTCTCGGCCTCCTGGACAGGTGGAGCATATTGTGGATCACTAGGCTCGGCAAAGTTACTAACAAACTGTGCCATACCTGTCAGGTAAAAATAAATCAAGTAAATATACGTTAAGTCGACATATTCCAACTTAGTTAAACCTTCAACAAGCTTAAAGCAATAACAGACCCGTATATGGGGGGCATTTCCTTTTCTCTGGTGCTGGCTTATATTCCAATGGAGGCCGGGGCTCAAATAGTTTAAGAAGATTTGGCGTCAATCCAGTAGAATGACTTTGACCAATCTACGTAAATAAATAAACTAAAAGTAATATCCATACAAGGAATGTAATTCACAAATATGTTTCTATAACAATTAAATAATTTAAATCAGAATCTCAACTCAACCATTTCATTCACATTAGACAAAGCCAAGAACAAACGCACAATTTGCTGCCATAAGTTAAAAACAGAAGATATTAACACTAGACAATGCTATTAATTTTTATGTTCTCCATGTATCATCTTAGCCACCAAACATAACTACATACTATATAACATTAGAATTCCTTACATGGCAGCCACTAAGAGTGTTATTGGCAGCTGAGAATGTGACTGCTCAAGTTAAAAACAAATCACCTAAGAGAATCTCCAAGAGATTCTTTAAACATACTGTGCTCTCTATTTTAAAGAGTCAATTCCTAAAATTATGTTATAGAGACTTTTTAAATTAATATTTTAATTTATAGGGTGGATTGAGTGAGTTTGACTCTCTGAATTTGAATAGCCAAACCCACTTTCTATAATTAAATGCATTCAAAATATTTCAATTTTCAATGAAGGAAAATAATATAATAATTTGGAGGTGAAAATAAAAGATTGGGAAAAACAATAAATATTTTTTGGTATTAGTAAAATTAAATGTTAAATATAAAGAGACTGTTGGAGTAATTAAAACTTTTTATTCTAAATTTATAGATGCACGCCGAGTTGTAGAATATGCTCTATTTTTAATAAATAATCTCTTGAAGATGCTCTAACACCGTCAAATCATTAAGCTCTATCCAAGATCACCAAAGGTCCAGACAATAAATAATAATGAAAAGCTAAATAAACAATTAACGTCAATCCGTCATCAACTCGCACAGTAAAAATACAATAATAACCCTTCATATGACCTCAACATACATAGCTAAATTGAAACCCTAAATCAATTAACAATATCTCAGACTCCTATAGAATCCTTCTCACGATTTCAAGTAATCAACAACTGAAGAAATAGCTGACAAACAAACAACCGAATAGCACGTACAAGCTTGAGTTGCATAACATTGTTACGATTCTGAGCCTTGGCACGGGCCTGGACGGCGGAGTTCGGGTTGCGCAGTAAGGCGTCGTTGTAGTCTCCCATCTTAGCTGCCGCTTAGGGGTTTCTGGAGAAGGAGAACCGATCGATGAGCTCGCGTTTTATTCTGAAGTTTGAGTGTATTCTAGGAATTCGAGGGCAGCGGCTTAAAGCGGTATCGAAATCTGTGATTACTGACTGGAACGTTTGGGACTTCAGGGCTTTTATTCTATCTTTATAAAGACGAGTTGGATTGTTAATGATTTGACTCGCTCTTACTCGCTGATTCACGAGTTTCTCTATTTTATTTTTTTTAATCGAAAATGATTGATAGTTAATAAATACCTGGTTAACAACTATTATTTGAGAAAAAACAAAGTTTTAAATAGCAATTTTAAGAGAATGTATGGTTAAAAAATTATATTTATAAAGACAAGTTGGATTGTTAATGATTTTACTCGTTTCGCTGAATCACGAGTTTCTCCATTTCTTACAAAAAAAAAAAAAATGATAGATGATTAATCAGTCCTTATTTGACAACTATTATTTGAGAAAAAACAAAGTTTTAAATAGTGATTTTAGAAAAATATATGGTCGAAAAAAATGTAAGTTTACGTGTAAAATATTTTATTGTATGAATGTGTTGTTGAAAATAAATATATAAGAAAAGAATTTTCAAACCAGGGCTAAATATATAACTTTGAGCTTGAGCTTATGCATAGTTTTAGGGCTTGTCTGGTATTCATTTTGGCTGAATTCTAATCAAAATTGTGACCGTTTGGTTTGGTCAGTGGGACCCGCTTGTGAGATGTTAAGTCAAACTCTGCGGCTGAATTCATAGTTAACGGTAGGAAAATCAATTTTTTTAGCTATCTTAATTCCTACCAAACAGGTCCTTAAAATAGTTAATAAAGTGTTTTTATTACTCTATTGATCACTAATGTTATTAATCATTTCTAGCTTGGTCACTCAATTATTAAAACTAACGCCATGTTGTTTAAGTTCTCCAAAAAGTGCCATACAAATATCTCTAGTAAAATTTATGCAAATTTACTTACCACTCGTTATGTATTCATTTCATGGAACCCATCATTTCACTTTATTATAATCTCATTCCCATCACATGTCACATCACTACTCGAAGACTCGAAGTTGGTGATCTAATAAGAGTTGCTTTTCGCCTAGTCCTTTGTAACATTTTTCCTAATATCCAGTGTCTCGTGACTTGAGCCTATATCATCCTACTTTGATATGTCTAATCACTTTATTTTCCTATTGGGGCATGGTGTAGGAAGGGTGAACTTTATTGGGTTGATAGGTCGACGTAAACCAAATATGGGAACCTTATTGATATTTGGTCTCTCCCATCGTTTAATAGAGCATCTTTAACTTATTGTACAAGACTTAGCGCTTGTTTGGGAGAAATTGTTCCACATCTTAAAATTGATATTCAAACCGTTGTGCACAATCTTCTAAAAACCAGGTGAGTACAAGTCAAACTTGGCTGCTAGGTGGGGCCCCTTCAACGGTTGGAATCTTGCTTAAAAGTGGATTGTAATTTCCTCCAGGCAGGCCTTAGTCAATTTGCATACCAGTTTCTCTCAAAGGCCTAGTAAGGTCTTATGGTCTTTAAACATCTAACCTAATTGAAGCCCCATATTCGTGGGCACCTTATGCTTAATTTTTCTTATAAGTATTAAGCACTTATTTGGTAGATATTTTAATCTAAATCAAACCACACATTTTATGAGACCTATAATTTTTTAAACACATATTTCATCAACTTTTATCAAAATCTACTAAAAATCTGATTTTAATCCCTACCAAACAGGAGCTAAATATAATTGATCTACTTTGTCTTTATCCACCTTGCACACATGATCCTCATTACAAATGGAAGCCTTCAATATCATCTTCGGCCTCACACCTTACACTTAATTTTTTCTAGTGTTAAATATGATATGTAGAGTTTGGCCTCATCTACCTTACACGAGTCTGCCACCTCACTTTTGGTCTAAAGGACTTAATAAGGGGCAGCCTAAAGGTCTATGAGATTCATTGTCCTTAACATGTTTACATCAGGGACAAAGCTAGCACCCAACGAGGTGGCGCGTTCGCCAGTGCAAGCTCCGTCAGAATTTACAAGTTGGATTTGGAGGGAGGTTGTATTGCAGACTTGCAATCGCTATTGTTGTAGAATATGAAAAGCTTGAAGGGAGGAAGATGTGTTACTTGGGCCAATTTTTTTTTTTTTTTTAATTGTGGGCAATTTGTTTTGAGATTATTTTTTTAAAAAAATTAGACCCGTTAATATTTTCAATGATTGATTTATTTTTTTTTTTTTTAAATTGTGGGCCATTTGTTTTGAGCTTTTTTTTAAAAAAAAAATTTAGACCCGTTAATATTATCCATGATTGCTTTGAACTGTGATGGCCTCTTAGGATTACGTGATTAAGCATTCATATTACACAGGATTCAGAAGACAAACCAAACCTTTCTCTCTAGTCCCTCCAGTGACTTGCTAGTTGTGACCTGCTGTCGGCTACCACCGAGTCTCGACCCCGACCTCCGCCATTGTGTAAGCCTTTTTTAGTTTATAATTACAATGGATATGTAGAGATGGCAACGGAATGGGTCGACTATTCCTACCTGTCCCGTCGAGTATTTTTATCACCTTACTCCATCCTCATACGCGATTAAAGCGGGATGGGACGGGGTAGGACCGGGGTGGGGCAGGGCAGGTCCCTTACCCCATTTATCGTGCCCATTTATTTATTTTATTTTTGCTTTTATTTTTTTTATATCATTAGTTAATAAATATTATTATTTTTTTCAATTTATTAAGAACAACTTATATTCTCATTAAAAATGATGATAAATCTTTTATTTTTTATTTTTGATAAAAAGTTTAAATTTGAAATTAAATTTAAACAAGCGGGTAGCCGGACGGGGCCATGTTTTCTATACTCGTCTCGTGCCCGCTTCGAAGCAATTACCCCCTCCCTCTCTTTTACTAGATTAGGCGGGTAATTATCGCCTTATTCGGGGCATGGCCCCGCGGATATTGGATTGAACGAATTTTTTTACCATCTGTACGAACATGTGAATAATTAAGAGGTTGTGGTTATGGGGAAAAACATAAATACGATGGGGTTATGTGTTTTGGAATGGATTGTGAGGCTGTAATTAACCCTTGTTTGATCCTCATTTTTCTCTCTTCTTTTTAACAATGCATTTTTTAATAAAATAATACTATACGCAACCTAAAATTTTTCTCTATTTTTGAACCACATATTCTCCATCAATTTACTATTCCAAAATGCATTTATACACAAAAATAAGGCTCAAACATGCCCTTATTTTAAAATTTTGGCAAGTTTATTCTATTCTCCCCAATCCATATATTGACACTGTCGTCTGTAATTGCGATGGATCGTGGGAATTTATGAATTTGTGAATATGTTGTGTGGACTGTGAGTATGTGATTTGTAAATCTGTGATAAATGATAAGTTGAGGAATTTGTGAGATGCGATAAGTGATACATTGGTATTGGAAATTGAAAGTTCATGATAGTTTAAAATTAAGTTTAATTTAGTTTTAATATGTGATTTACGTTTAATTTTTAAACGAATAATGGAATGATTATTTCAATTGAAACGAAAGTCTCAATCCAGTTCTTATAGTGGTGCATCCAGTATTGAATTATTTTCATAGGCATATATTTTTGACGTTTTAGTATATTTACATATAGATTAAATTTTTTTAATATTATTTAATTAATATTAATAAACGGTCGTTGACTGCCACAGTCGCCCTAGCTCACCAACATTCTTGAATCCACCATGGGTTCACACGACTCTCATGTATCTTCAAACGTGTATGCTGCATCAGAATGTTCTTACTGCACATGTAATTTTTTCATTGTCAAAAAGTTATTTCAAACACAAAATTTGAACTCCCACCGTCGAAACATAAGAAAACAACAATTGAGACAACTAGCTAATGACAACCAACTAAGCCCCCGTTTGACACTCATTCTTTTCCTATTCTATTTCTCATTTTTTTCTCTAATCCATTCTTTTCCCATTCTCTTTCTCATTTTTTTTCTCTTTCTTCATTTCAACCACACATTCTATCAATAAAATAATATTACACATAAACCCAAAAATTCTTCTTACTTTTTAACCACACATTCTTCCCATCAATCACTATTCCAAAATTTATTCTTCACAAAAATGGGTGTCAAACACACCCTAAATAATTCCACATTTTCTAGCTCTTTTGGAAACTTACAGAGGAAGATAAAGCTGACCAAAAATACTTTGATTTCAAGAAGAAATCTCTATGAAATGAATGTTGGAAATTTACTTAATCATGGATAGCAAAAAATAAAAAAAATTCAATTTCCTCACGGATTTGCTTTGTTTTAAGATGGAAATTGTGATAGGAATTACACCTTCAATAGGTTCCGCAAACTTCCTTGATGATCTTGAATTACAAACAATCACGATCTGTAATCCAACTGTCAAATTGTCCGGCCTCCAATAAAAATCCACACAATAAACAAGAATGAGAGAATTAATGTTTCTTTTTTCTTATACTAACAATATTAGGGGTGTCAATTTCGCTCGCAGGCTCGGGTAGCTCGTGGCTCGGACCGAAAAAAGCTCGAGCAAACCGGCTCGCGACTGAGCCCCATTTTGGGAAGTTGGCCTAAGTTACACGAGTTGGCTCGTGTCACGGGCTATTCTATTTTCGGCCCATGACGAGTTGAACCTAAAAAAATATTTAAAAATAAAAGTCAGTTATAGGCAGCTACATGCTGCCTTTGCAGGAAGTTACCGACTATTGCATGCAATTGCCTGATATTTATTAAAAAAAATCGTGAGCTGACTCGATTCAACAAGGCTCGAGTCTAAAGTTTGGGTCGTGCCTAAATTTTTTGGTTCAGCAAAAGCTCGGCTATGACGAAAAAAGCCCGAAAAATTTTACTCGAGTCGAGCTCGAGCTTCAAATTTCGACTTGCGAGCTAGCTCGACTCGACTCGACTCGTTGGCCATAAGAA